AATTACAATCGATAAATTTCAACGTAAAATACAGCAATGAAGTAATATTACCATTTGAAGAAACTAGTAAACCATGATGTAAACCATAGTGTCTAAAATTGTTAATAAATTAATATTGTTAATAAATAAAGGAAACAAATACAAGACCTTAATCTCTTACCATTGTTCAAAATACAGAAGAGTCTTTCATATATTTTCATATATTTTTTATAATTGCAAGACGAATAAACCTTCTTCAAACATTCTTCCAAAATAAATTCTAAAAATATCCAGAATTTAAACAGGAAAATTGACAAACTGATTTTTTAATCATCAATCAATCTAAAATATAGCAGCAATATAGTACTACTATAAAAAAAAATCTGGGATCACAACTACAACTATAGTAACTCACAAATTACAATATAAAAAGGTCCAACATTATTAACTACCAAATCATTATTAATGCAGCATTATTAACTACTAACTTATTATTAATAAAATATCTGAAGAAATACCAACAAAAATATCCAAAATTTAAACAGGAACATTGACAAACTGATTTTTTAATGATCAATCAATTTGAAATATAGCAACAATATAGTACTACTATAAAAAAAAATCTGGGATCACAACTACAACTATAGTAACTCACAAATTACAATATTATATAAAAAGGTCCAACCATCATTAACTACTAAATCATTATTAATCCAGCATTATTAACTACTAACTCATTATTAATAATATATCTGAAGAAATACCAACAAAAATATCCAGAATTTAAACAGGGAAATTGACAAACTGATTTTTTAATGATCAATCAATTTGAAATATAGCAACAATATAGTACTACTATAAAAAAAAATCTGGGATCACAATTAGAACTATAGTAACTCACAAATTACAATATAAAAAGGTCCAACCATCATTAACTACTAAATCATTATTAATCCAGCATTATTAACTACTAACTCATTATTAATAATATATCTGAAGAAATACCAACAAAAATATCCAGAATTTAAACAGGGAAATTGACAAACTGATTTTTTAATGATCAATCAATTTGAAATATAGCAACAATATAGTACTACTATAAAAAAAAATCTGGGATCACAACTACAACTATAGTAACTCACAAATTACAATATAAAAAGGTCCAACATTATTAACTGCCAAATCATTATTAATGCAGCATTATTAACTACTGAATCACGTGGAAACTAAATCTCGTGTCGCTAGACCACAATCCTGACGGAAGTTTCACGGGAGCCATCTTGTTTCCTCTCGTGTCACGTCTCAGGCGAGACGCGGCTCTTCGATGTACCGTTCCCTCGGTGTGCCTTACCCCTAGTCGCGCGGCGTTAAACGTTTGAAATACGCGTTGTAGCGGCGCGCCGCTAATTAAACTATAAATTCTGATCCGGAAACGGCGCGCCGTTCGACTCCCGACTGGCCTAACGATTTCGCGAGAAAGCTTCTAACGAGGTGAAAAGAAAAGTAACACGCGGAGAGCCCCAGCGCGGCCGGCGATATCTCGCGAGACGAGCCAGAAAGAGAAGGAGAGAGAGAGAGAGAGAGAGAGAGAGAGAGA